TTGTTTAACACTTCCGAGGATTTGCAACAATACCACGAGAATTGTGCTGCCTCCAGGCTCTGAAGACCACCTGGGGAAGATTCCAGGCCACGTGTTGACAACGATGGCGAACAAGTGGAGACTCTTTGGCTTTTTGAAGCTATTCACATTACATTTGTTATCATGTTACAGTGTATTGTCCGTTATTTTCCCATTAAAAACGATAGTCCCATATTAGTGAAGCACCCTGTGTATATATATACACACACACTCTGTGCATATGTTTATTCCCCATAGCACCCCTACACATACATGCCACTTCTCATAAACAAAAGTATCTGTCACTCACAGTGTTTACAAAGCAACGTAAAGAAGGGAACGCGTCTGAGTGGATCGCACTCCGCGGAGACGGAGCAATGAATTAATCTGGTGCAGAGATGCAAGGGCGGATTGTTACATGATGGGGCCGTGAGCCATGGCGACGGCTAGGGGAGGTCTTCATCCAGCAGTGACGGTGATGATACTGACAATTAATTTAACAATACGGATATGCAAGTATTATATTAACAATGTTTAGTTCTATATAACGTCGTTCATGCAAATTTAATCTCACAATCGCCGAGGAACCAGGCATATCCGGCGCCAGGAATTGCCCCAAGCTCTGCAGCCCTCTACACATCAATATGTTTTCAGCCAATTACATGTACTGCATCTCCGATGAGCACGGTTGGCTACGTACGGTGCGAAATAAGCTGAACGTACGGTACATCCATACTCGAGGGGGAAACCGGAGCACCCAGAGACAACACGATACAGATGGGACAGATGGCACAGATGGCACAGGTGATATTATTCCGCACTTTGTTACGCCGCCCTCTCCTGGTGAGTCAGTGTACGGCACCTACTTTCGACGTCCACGGTTGACATTTGTGCGGTCCACAAAGCCTGGCCTCCCCCACACTGCCAGACTTAACAAGGCCACGCGCATCAATAAGCCACACCTACCGCCGGGCTATGCATTTCTATCTCAAGTTCTATGACGAAGAGCAGGTGAATGGATCAAGTTCTCCTCCGTCCCTTCTCCCTCTCTCCCTGCCCCTCCACCACGCAACACGACAACTTGGAGGGAAGGAGGGTTGCGGTGGCTTCTCTTTTGCCTCCTATCAAGAGTTTTTTTTTTTCTCTTTGGTGACACAATCCCCAGAAACATTTGAAGCAATTGGCGGGACCCCGGGGTCCCATCACTGCCCCGGGGTGGGAAAACCCGACGTGACTTTATCCAATAGAACCAAAGAGTATGGATCCTAGCAGTCACGAAAGCTTTAAATCTAGAACAACACTAGTGTCACTCGATTGGCCTCGTCGAGAGCTACTCGGGGACACTAAGTTTCGTAAAAAGTTGAAAAATTACATAAACACGTTAAATTCACTGCCTGGGGGGCGGCGGGCTCGCCTTGGCAAAGAAGCCGAGGATCGACGGCTGACCGGAGGGAGTCGTTGCCGCGCGCGACTGCGGCGGACGCCCCCCGGGGCTCGCGTTTGGCCGGTGGGGTGGCGCCCGTCGTGTTGATCGCCGCCTGCTGCTGCTGCTGGCGCGAGTCTGGGCGGGCGGCGCGTTGCTGGCGGGATCACGTAGTGGGGCGGACTGAAAAATAATAATTATTGACCCGATTTTTGCGGGACCCCGGGGTCCCGCCAAATGATTCATTTGCGCGTCGCACCAAGGACAATGCGATGCACATGGCAATGTAATAATAATAACGTTAGTTAATGTATAGTGTCAGATGCGATCGTTTTTGTATTGTTACAATCCATAAATCTGAATATTTTATTGTCCTGGAGAAATCCGATGAGCTATAAAGCTCTTTTTCACAGATGGCCCAGCCGGGGTGGGTCAAAACGTCACAACAACGAGTTTCGTGCCCTTTGTCAACCTATTCCCGGATGAAGGCCTCCCCACATTGTGGGTTGTTCGACCATACTTCACCACGCCGGTTAACGTGGGAGCGGTTCGTCTTTTAGCCATCGCCGGAAATCCGACTCGTGGTTGCCAGGTTCCTCGAGTACACGATGGTCCAGATGTCTTGTGACCCCCCGTTTAATTCTAAAAAAAAAAACTATATAAAAAAGTTTAAAGCAAGGTTTATTTTAAACAGAATTTAATATGCAAAGTGATCAAATAATTGGCGGGTCACGATACAATCTGGACCACCCTGTACATGAAAGTGGACTAACCACTGCGCCACCGCTCCGTTCCAAAGAGAGAAACCAAGTGGGCCGTATGTCACGGTTTGCAAATACCCACGTTAAGCAGCAGGGGGTACCCTGCGATCGGGCATTATCAAGTTGTTTGCGAGGTCTATTTAAAGGGGAAACAAGAAACACGCAAAAGCTTAGGTTACGTGACCAAGAGTCGACGTAAGAAATATTTACCATCAGTGTATTTATTCACCGAGCCAGTCGTATTGAATGGTGATGCAACGCTTTGGAGGCAAGGGTTGGTGGATCACGTAAGGATGTGTTAAATAAGTAAAAAAAAATAAAGTTTTTTTTAAAGACGCTTTAATGAAATGTACTAGTAATGGAAGAACTCCACGACTCCAGGAAATGGCCCCGATGTTTGCCACAACGTAAGGGGACCGTGGCCAATTACAGCCAACGTCAGTTGAGCGTGGACAATTAGACCCAAGCCGAAACATAACATGTAAAAAAGGGTGTTTAAAATATATATATTATGGCAGAATATAGTATTGTCATCAGTATGACATGAGTATACCAAGTTTGCAGTCGATACCACATTGGGAAGTGGGTTAAAATTGAGTTACAAGATTTGAGGATACAACAACAGACAGAGTGAGTGAAATAAAATCGTGTGACAAGTGCCTTATACAACTGTAATAAAATTTAACACAGATCTCGGTATAAAATCAGCTCTTGCCACCCGAACACAGATAGCAATAACCTGGAGAGGTGGCGACCGTATATTTTAAGATGCCAGGTAAGAAGGTGGTACACAAACAGTGGGTTCATGAACCCGTCTGTGCGGAGCTTTAAGCGTTTCCCCTCGTATGCGCGACTGGTTTCTTCTCACAAGCGAATGCTTGTCATGTCACAAAGCACCTCCGATTAGCACACTTGGCTACGCTCGGTGTGAAACAAGGTCAACACGCATACATACTAAACTCACACAGTCCTGTACTCGTTGAATGAGTGTATAAAGCACGTGTGACGTTATGACCTCTTTGCCATAATCTAACGCCGCGTTGTGGTGAGCCATGGGATGGGTGACCCTTCGAACTAATGTCAGTTCCAAATTATATATTTAGTTAGACCGGGATTTGTAGAGTTGGTGGGGGGTGGGTCACTGAATTCGGTCCGCTGGTTGGAATACGAGCTCTCTGGACTCGACGTGAACGCTGAATCTATGAACCGAACGGGGATTTGGGTCTGAACACAGCATCTATAATTATTATTGTTTCACTGCTCTGAGTGTTATTTTGGCTGTCACCGTAAAGCCAACCGCACCCCGACTATCCCCAACTCCCCACCAACTCCCCACCGCTACTCAGCTCAATCGTGTCCTCAGGGGCGGGGTCTAAGCAGAATAGAGGTGGGGCCTTAAATAAGAGGGCGGGGGCCTAAAAAAGGAAAGGCGCAGTAAGAGGAAGGAGGCGGAGCCTACGGAAGTGGTGGGGTGTGTTTAATTTAAGGCAGTGGTTCTTAACTCTTACTGTAGCCTTGGTTCTCAATCGTAAAAAAAAATCATGTTAATAAATACATAGGTGCTTTATTTGTGTTTTAGACCATTTACCTTAGAAAAAAATCTGGAATGTCTCATACCCCGAGGGAGTACGTGCACCCCAGGTTAGGAACGACCGATTTAAGGTAATAAACGAATACAATTTTGATTTAAAGCTTTCGTGACTGCAGTGATTCATATTCTTGGTTCTTTCGGTAAAGTCACGTAGAAGGGAAACAATAAAATAATAAAAATAGAAAACAATAAAATTCTCACGTTTCGACTGCAACACAAGCAATCATCATCAGGTGTGAAAAACACAGCAAGAAATTTAGAAAAAAGTGGCGTTTTTTTAACGTTAGCACCACGGAGAGCGATTTGACAGTTTGTTCAGATGGACGAGTCAATCTATGTTCAGAAAAGAGGAGGGGGGAGACGAAAATAATGGATGTGGTCTGAAAGCCACCTTAAGCGTGATCAATCAATCAAGACCCGAAATGGTTTATCAAGTCCTTCCAATGATTGCTAAGCCAGAATCCATCTTCTCGGTTGAAATTGTCTCTGTGTTTGTATATGTGGATAGCCTCATGAACGAATCTCTCATGGTAGCCAGATGGCTTGCAAAGAACCTCTGTCTTGGAGAAGTCAATGTCATGTGAGCCTACTGAATTATAAGAGTGATCTGCCACGGCCGAGGTGTTATTATTTTATTGTTTCCCTTCTACGTGACTTTACCGAAAGAACCAAGAATATAAATAAACGAATAGTTAAATAACTGCAGCAGGCAACATACTCAAGAGTCCTGCAGATGCGAACGCAGACCAACCAGTTGTATATAACACGTGCACTGAAAAACCTATTTGGGAAGACCTTGTTTTTTAAGACTCATTTGCAAAATGGTCCTGCTTTGGTATGTCTTGGCTTCATTGTACTTTTGTTGTTTTCTGTGGGTGGTCACTGGCATAGCCCAGGAAAAGAAACAAGACATCCTGCATATAAGGAGATTCCATTCAAACGTTTCGATATAATGTTGATTTGAAGTTTTTGTGACTTCAGGAATCCATACCCTCTGATTCTTTCGGTAAAGTCACGTAGGTAGAAAAAAATATTTTTTTAAAAACACGACGTTTCGGTCGCAACACAAACGCCGTCATCAGATGATCCCAAAGCAGGACCATTTTGAAAATGAGTCTTAAAAAACAAGGTCTTCACAAATCGGTTTTTTAGTGCACGTGTTATATACAACTGGTTGGTCTGCGTTCGTGTGTTGCGACCGAAACGTCGTGTTCTTTTATTATTTTTTCTACCTACGTGACTTTACCGAAAGAAGCAGAGAGTACGTTTCGATATAGTTTACGCCTACTTGCAGCGCTGCTTCTTAGAGGCACCTCTGAATGGGCCACAAACCCCACCAATAAGTATGGAATTCAGATGAACTCTTATAATAAGTGTTGTTAGAGCACTGGGTTCAAGAGTGGTAATTACAATACACGAAAATTTATGTTATTTCAATTCTGTATAATACTGCAATTATTGAACGGAGTGGAGCCACGGCACAGTGGCTTGTGCACGATGTGCTACAATTCAGGTGACCTGAGTTTAATACCTGGTCGTGGCTAGCATTGGTTGGCCAGTGATATCTGAACTGGTCCTTGAGTTTCCACACGACCACAACCCTCCAGCAACCCTCACTGACCAGCATGGTGAGGTATGCCCGAACGACCTCCAAACAAAGGGGTTTGTGAAAGCCTTTTATTTTTTTCTTATCAAACAAACAGTAGAACAAGGTTAAGCGCTTAAGTTTACGAGAAAAAAAGTGTGAACGTCGAATGAGCAAATACAAAAATACTAAATTCCCTTTTCCCTCCACAAGTTTGAAATGTCTTCTTACAATCAAGCGTTTTTAAATCTAATGAATGATTTAATGACGCTGCTTCGTTTGCAGCGGTGCACAAGCACCACGATAAAACCTCAACACATTTGTCAATAACACTGCCTTTTCCTTTCAAGGTAGTGTTGCGGACTCATGTATTGAGTTGTTTTTAAATATAATACTCGGTATCAACAGGAGCCTACATGAACGTGTTACTCGTGTCGATTATAATCGACCCCAGGTCTGATGAAAGTAAAGATAAGCCATTGCCAATTGCAAAATTGCATTGCAGCCATGTAACCTCGAATAATCTGCTATACAATAGAAAAATATTTATCGCCGATGATAGTAACGTCAATTTCGCTCGCGTGTCTAATCGCAAATGGGATAAATTGTTAATTGCCAAGACATTGCTTAGTCACTGGTCACATTCATTGCACACAGCTACTAATTGAAAAAGTGTAATCTGAAAAAAGGCAGGACTTTTTAGTAGTTACAGAGCATTGACTGTAGACCAGAGCATGTAGCAAATTTCACAACACCTTAGCGATATTAAATTGCATACTGTAATGGTAATAAAATAATCACTTGTTCTAGTTACTGTGTCCACGTTATTGTATTTTACACACTATAGTGTAAGCACTTTCAGGACAAGGAAATGCACTGAGTAGCTGCAACTGCATACGGGCGATGAAATAATAATTGGTTCGAATTTCTGCATCCGCGTCATTGCAATTTACACATAGTGCAAGCAATTTCAGGGCTAGGGAATGCACTGCGTAGCTGCTTTTAATGAGAGACGCAGAGTTGAGTTCCCAGCATCGTTATATCATCAACTACGTCTTCAGCTTCATCACCATGGAGTTCACTACAGCTGTATATAGTTCCCTATTCTGGAAGTGGATCGTGACCGGACAGTGTTTGTACCTTGTGGCTGAACACCTTCCACTCGCGTCTCGCTAGTTTGTAATTCACTACCGCTGTGTCCATTTGTTGGGGGCCGGGGCGATGGCGAGTTAGTTCCATTGGGGGTGTCAGTTGCTCCAGGGCAACAGCCCATGTCGACCTCGTCGTACGCCACCGCGCAGCTGACGGAACTGTTTTTGGAGCTCCCTGACACGCTGACCTTGCCGTACTTTCCCCTTGTGGGATGCAGGCAGACGTAGTACAAACACGTTAAGCCAATACCGAGTACAAAACCCACAAGGATGAGAATAACTATAGCTAGCATCCAGATTTCAGTGGTCAGCAGTGTGCTAAAGTGGCGACATGTCGTCTCACCTACAGCTACAAAAATCTCTAAACACGTGAATGAGTAGTAGCAAATCACGTTCCTCTGAGTGGCATCTTTCCTTACGTTGAAGAAAGAAAAGATGAGAATGAAGCCGACGGTGCAGCGGTAGACAAACTCTTGGAAGCAAGTGTCCATGAATTCAGTCTTGTGAAAATAAACCGTCAGGGTCATCAAAACCCAAATGAGCACCCCAACAGGAACCACGTAATACCAGGGCCACAGCAGGGTGAGGAGGCAGAGTGTGAGCAATTGGGACAAAAGCAAAGAGTACTTAGACGATAAGAAGACAAAAAAGGCTGAGCTCAACAGTTTCAGCTTTTCCTTGTGCTCGAGAGAATTCCGCATGGTGATGTGGTAGTCCAACATGGTCCAGACAATGGTTATTGAAGACGCCACTATAGTCATACCTGAAGAACGACACACGCACGTAGAGGGTTATTTTGTTCATACATATAAGCCAGCATGCCTTAGCCCATATCTCCCAGAATGCACCCAGTATCATCAAAGCTCAGAAGCTAAGCGGTGTTTCGTTACTCATGACACTTGCTTACTCAGAAAAGCTCCGTGACTGTTACAGGAGGGACTTGCAAAGTTTTCACAGCATGGGACAATGATCGCCACGTAAAGTCAAAGTGAGTACCGCAATTTAAATTATTCTCATTTGGGACCGTGACGCAGGCACGCAACGGCCTACTCTTTCAAATGACATCACAGGATCTGTAACGTCCACTATATGTTCATGGTTGATAGATCCCGCAGTCTTACCCAGGGCATCCACTGGAATCGAACCGTGAACCTCGCAACAAAGCGGTGAATGCGCCACCGCTAGGCCACGTCAATGCCCAGGGCCCATCCTAGATCACGCTTGGATGGGGCGACGACCATGCGTGAAACTGGTGCCATTGGCAGCGTGGCTAAGTTGCTCCTCCGATTAGCGCGGTTGGTTACGTACGGTGACGAAAGACGTTCAACATACATACATTAATGTCCTATGTTTATATCCAACCACACCTCCGTTTACCACGGTTGCCTATGTATGGTGCGAAAAAAGTTCCACATACAGGACATACATGTTGCACTGTATAATTCAAGTATTTTTTTAATCAGTCTTTACAAAACACATTATTATGGATTTAATGCATTCAGTTCACCATGCTTGCTGAACTTCCAATTCGATTCTCTGCTCGAAAAAATGCTGTTTATATTATGAGACCTCCTTTGCCAGTAACAAGCTATAGTAATAGGTTTTTACCCTTTTAGCTGGCACAAAAACTGACACCTTTATACAAGGGATCATGTTTGCAAAAACCACAACACAAGCAGTCAAAATGCAAACAAAAAGAAACAACTCATAATGATATGCACTGTCCTTGAATTTGATTGGTCCACACCCGAGACAGCTTTTCTTAGAGCCTAGTCTCCACTGGTGTCAGTTTTTTTGTGCCAGCTAAAAGGGTAAAAACCTATTACTATATCTTGTTACTGGCAAAGGAGGTCTCATAATGTAAAGGCTTACCCCGAGCTCTAAATACTCTGATCGTGCGCTGTTTTTGAGTGTCATCTGGTCCAACACCAGTGGAGACTGGGCTCTAAGAAAAGCCGTCTCGGGTGTGGACCAATCAAATTCAAGGACAGTGCATATCATTATCAGAGTTGTCTCTTTTTGTTTGCATTTTTGACTGCTTGTGTTGTGGTTATTGCAAACATGATCCCTTGTATAAAGGTGTCAGTTTTTGTGCCAGCTAAAAGGGTTAAAAAACCTATTACTAAATGCTGTTTATGTTCGTGGAAAGGGTTTGGAATAGGATTAGACATACATAATTCATATCCCCTTTAAAAACATCCATCACACTCAACATTAGGAATACCTCTGGTGTATGATCAGCTGTTTATGCTATGCTCGGATAATTTGTGAAGGGCAGTTGAAGCAGAGCTACATATGCCATTGTCATAATACTGCAGCCCGATGTCTAAACAATAAAGGTATCCTATGACATTGTTGTTCACCCCGAGTTATAAATGCGCTGATACGTGTGGCATTGCCTTTATGCTGTTCGCCTTTTGGCGATCTCTGGTCTGACACTGGTGAGACTAGGCCATGAAGGAAGCTGGCGCTGGTGTCGGCCAATCAGTTTCAAAGACAATGCGTATATTATCGGAGAATGTTTGTTTGCATGTTCACCACAAGCACGTTGTGTGGTTCATGCGGTGACTTGATTGCTAGCGAAAGGTTTTCTATTTGGTGTTTGAACATCTCAACACACCTGTTGTGTTGCCAGAAATGGCGAAACCTATTCTGAATAAAATTGTAATTCAACAATATGAATGTTACATGTCTACGCACCATACAAGTTCCAATTTAACGTGCACAAGTGATGTGAGTGCTAGATGCACATCATTTTTTTGGGAAGTTACATATGGTACGTTTTTTTTCTGTCCAAATAGCACACCCGTGCAGACATGCTGGCGAGTTCGTTGAGAATGCATATTGATCAACCGGTATTTCAAGTGTCACGTGACGTTTCTGTCATGTTATTTTGGTAGAAAAAGTTTTTTTTAAAAACATCCCTGTTGTACAACAAAAAAACACGTAACTTTTTTTTTATAAACTATCAGTCAAAATTTCTGAGATGCATTTCGTGAAGAGAGCAGATGTAGCTGTATGGGAATGGCAGAAAACGCTACACGGCAGCAAATAGTTTTCAGGTCATGAGCCGTCCGAAGCATTACTGTGCACGCAAGTCCGCTCCACGAACGCGATCTAATCCCAGGCGAGGGCCAGGAGAGAGGATTTCACCACAGCGCCGTGACATCAAAACGTGGATTTCGCAAATGTGATTATGTGGCTGCGGTGGAAACCTTTTCTGGGAGGTTAATGCAGGTGCAGTGGCGTAGTGGTGAGCGCACTGTACAACGGGCCAAGTGGCATCTGAACCGCTCATGGCCCTTGAACCCACAACGTCACCAACCGGCACTCACCAGTGTGATCACGTATGGTCAAACAAGCGGTTGACCAATGCCAAAATGTTGTGAAGAGGCCTTCATCCAGCAGTGGATTGACTAAGGGCTTTAAAAAAGAACGTGTATTTTTGTATGGAGTAGTTTCTGCTTCCTTGGGAGAGTGAACGTGGTAGAACGTACCAGGAATAGCACAGAATTCACCGTCATGCTCACTACATACACAATAGAATGTCCACGCCCTCAGGAGCGGAATTCATGATTCCATCAGTGGAATGGCAGATCATGAATAGCGGGAAAACTCTGCCACTCTGTGACCTGCCCCAAGCCCTGCCCCTAGCCCTCCCTACTTCTGCCCAATGCGCCTTGCTCGCCCAGGCAATGGCAGCGTTTAGCACACGACGCAGAGCACACTTATGGCCGCGAGACATTTCACGGACCCCGTTCACGACTGTTTCGCGGGAGACTCACACTGGATGGAGTTGGGCTGACGTGTCAGCAGCACGATGTGGACCTGCAGGAGGAGCTGGGGAGTGCTCTCCAGCATGGTCTCGAACAAGCGCAGCATGGTCAGGTCAGCCTGGTGGTTGCACCAGCGTGTCAGCAGATCCCAGGTTCCGTCAGCTGCGTGCTTCCGATATGCCTTGATGCCCAGATAGATGAGGCACAAGGCCCTGCAACACAAGCAATCCTGCTGTGTCTGGTATTCTTTACTACAAATGCGTCGTTAAACCCGCCACCACCCGACGCAGCCAATTAGTAAGGTTTGTCATGTAAACAAAACTTGTCAATTCGTTACTAGTTCAACTGACCGGTGTGTTGGAGAGTAAACCCAGAAAAACCTCTATTATGGATAATATTGCTTGCGAAAGCCTACGTGTTAAAACTGGTTTGCTTGGCCTGCACAGATGTAACCTTTTAGCGTGCACCACGCTCCAGGTAAGCTGCATACTGGGTGGTTTTTTTTACAATGCATAAAAATGTATACATGATATTTACATTGAATGGTCAAATAATAAGCGCACGACAGAAAACGAGCGACGTATGGCATGGTGAAGGATTGGTCACGTGCTCCCAGGGGGGCCGTGAGAGGGCATTCGATAAAGTGTGAACTTTTTATTTCTTTTGGAATATAAATACTGTCATATTTTTTTTACTGAAAAGTGCAGAATTGTTACCTTGAGAGGAAAAAAAATCAGTTATGGCATCATCACAAGCACTGAGTTGTGTGTTAATTTTGTTCAATAAATTAGTGCAGAAAATATTCATGAAAGTATTTTTTTTATATTTTATTTAACAATGACGAAAATTACCAAGCGTGAAAATCACTAAGACTACTCGCCAAAGACCTCAGCATCGCCATGATGAGACAAAATCAATAAGTCTCAATGAAAACGCAGACTAAGATCATTTAGTAACGTTACTAGAGACTAGATATTAAAAGAGGTGAATGATTATTACCCGTAATAGACGTTTTTGGGTTAGATTGCATACATATATAAATGCGTCGTTAAAACCCGCCACCACCCGACACAGCCAACTAGTAAGGGTTGTCACGTAAATAGAACGTGCCAGTCCGTCACTAGTACAGCACACCGGTGTGATGGAGAGCCAAGCCACAACATTTACAAACTGAGTATGACGTTTCGCTAGTTATTACAACTAGCCAGATTGGTGGAGAAGTCTAACTGTTCCGTTCCTTATATAGAGGCGTAGATGTGTTGACCACGCAGCTGCGCTCTTGCACAATGTGGGGGGGGGGGGGGGGGGGAGGGGGGGGGCGGATTGCTTGCGAAAGCCTACGTGTTAAACTGATTATTAGCCGACTTGATATTGGGTGGGGACAGGGAATATGCACTCCTCTCACCGACATTTAATAACTGAGAGTGGACTAAATTCTCCACTTCTTTAGTCGACTTAACTAAGGAGAAAGACTTGAACTGAAGTTCCGCAGGTCGTTGACGACTTGTAGGAAGGCTGTGGTTAAAAAAAAAAGATGCTGACTAAATGAACACCATTGTTGTCGGGCCATGGAATATCATAGCAACAGCGGTGTGCCTGCGTGTAACAACCTCCGTACCTCATGAACAAGCCCATCTGCAACACGTGTACAACGGAGAGAATCCACTTATTCCCGGTGACACAACGGAAGGCAGGCACCTCCTCACACATCTGCTGCCACCACGTGGTCATGTACTTCTTGTCGCTCACAAACCACGCGTAGCTGTAGAACTGGACGACGACACTAGGAAGGATGATCAAGGAGATTGTGAGGCCGAAATTCAGTTCCTCCCCTTGGTGCAGGTAATTCCGGGCCAAAAGCAAGTCCATGCAGATATCAAAAACGAGCATTCCGAGTGATACCACCGTGGTGGCTAACTCCACTACAAATTTCCAGCGCGTCCATTGCACATTCCTGGGCTCCTGATCCATGCTGCACCTCCACGTGGCTGGGGTGGCTGGGGTGAGAGAGAGGGGGCGGGAGCATTACAACATAGGCCTCACAGTGATAGTAAGGCAATGTACTTTGAATGTTTGTATACTGTCTAAATGCAACCGAATCATTATAATACACTGTACTGAGACAGTGGGAATATTTATTTTTATAAAGATGAGTGGTAGGAGCCTGGACTTGAACAGGAACAAGGAGTCAGCAGCACGGATGGTTGAAGGATGGAAGTTCCAGTTTATAGTCAGAGAGAGAAGGAGCGCTTTCCCACTGAGTAAAGGTCGACTGGATGGCTTCGTGGGAAAGCCTCGTGGTGCTCGAGCAGAGAGTGCATGGAGGGGAGTAGGTAGAGCGAGATGAGAAGGGGCGCTTACGTCTTGTTTCATTGTATGTAATGGCAGATATTAGGGATTAATAAAGTACAACCATAACCACAATCATATAAACGGAAATCTATTTTATAGCAAGAAATTGGGGGGGACATTTTGAGCATATTTGTATATTGGGGGGGGGGGATGTGTCCCCCCCCCCCCCAATATATTATAATTACGGCCTTGATTTGAACATACTTCACCATGCAGGTCACAGCGGGTTGGTGGATGAACCCGGGGGGGGGGGGGGGTCACAGGAGTGCAGTACAACAATAGATTGTGGTTGCACTAACACGTTAATAAACTTAGCTTCGCAGTAGCCTACAACAACCATCCAAGCACACTCAAGAACTCGCCATCAAGTGCTCTCAGCTGCATCCAATTGTTCAAATTGGTTCTATCTTGCCAGCAAGCATGTTGCCTCTTGACTGTCAGCTTCTCTGCTGTATTTGCAGTGTACTCACTCCCCCCCTACCCTCCCCCTCTCTGACTTATTTAACTGCCCAAATCCTGGTCTCTCTCCCACTTCAGTAAACATTTCCTTGCTGTGGTTGTCACACCTGATGATGATTGCTTGTGTTGCAATGGAAACGTCGTGATTTATTTCAAAAAAAATTTCCACCGACGTGACTTTACCGAAAGAAACAAAGAGTATATTCCCCCAGCTTTTTTGTACCGATGATTTGTTACAAGCGAAAACACGATATTATTCAGTCTTGATTTCTATTTACATGTCCAAGAAATGTAACATGCCTCTCTCTAATTATGCTAACTTTCTTGTTGTGTACACCCCGTCCGTAATAAATGTACGTTATACTGCATCTTGTCTGCCCATGCAATGTTTAACATCCATCTTAAAAAAAAAATCTGTTACTTAAATACAAATGTGGCTAAAATGACTTGTTGGCTTTTTGTTTAAAAGATCTCTTATAAGAAGAATCAAAATACAGCGTAGATTTTGACTGCATCATACCTGTCAACCCCTTATTAGTGTCCTACTTATTACAGACCAATTCAGACCTCATTGGTCACCCAGTGGCCTTTATAAATCTCAAAGTCCATCCTACGACGTCCCATCACAAGGGAGAAACACAAATAGAAAAAAAATATTGAGGGAAAAAAGTATTTGATCCCCTGCTGATTTTGTACGTTTGCCCACTGACAAAGAAATTATCAGTCTATAATTTTAATGGTAGGTTTATTTGAACAGTGAGAGACAGAATAACAACAAGAAAATACAGAAAAATGCATGTCAAAAATGTTAGAAATTGATTTGCATTTTAATGAGGGAAATAAGTATTTGACCCCCTCTCAATCAGAAAGATTTCTGGCTCCCAGGTGTCTTTTATACAAATAACGAGCTGAGATTAGGAGCACACTCTTAAAGGGAGTGCTTCTGTGGACAGGTGTCTTTTATACAGCTTGTTACCTGTATAAAAGACACCTGTCCACACAAGCAATCAATCAATCAGATTCCAAACTCTCCACCATGGCCAAGACCAAAGAGCTCTCCAAGGATGTCAGGGACAAGATTGTAGACCTACACAAGGCTGGAATGGGCTACAAGACCATTGCCAAGCAGCTTGGTGAAAAGGTGACAACAGTTGGTGCGATTATTCGCAAATGGAAGAAACACAAAAGAACTGTCAATCTCCCTCGGCCTGGGGCTCCATGCAAGATCTCACCTCGTGGAGTTGCAATGATCATGAGAACGGTGAGGAATCAGCCCAGAACTACACGGGAGGATCTTGTCAATTATCTCAAGGCAGCTGGGACCATAGTCACCAAGAAAACAATTGGTAACACACTACGCCGTGAAGGACTGAAATCCTGCAGTGCCCGCAAGGTCCCCCTGCTCAAGAAAGCACATATACATGCCCGTCTGAAGTTTGCCAATGAACATCTGAATGATTCAGAGGACAACTGGGTGAAAGTGTTGTGGTCAGATGAAACCAAAATGGAGCTCTTTGGCATCAACTCAACTCGCCGTGTTTGGAGGAGGAGGAATGCTGCCTATGACCCCAAGAACACCATCCCCACCGTCAAACATGGAGGTAGAAACATTATGCTTTGGGGGTGTTTTTCTGCTAAGGGGACAGGACAACTTCACCGCATCAAAGAGACTATGGACGGGGCCATGTACCGTCAAATCTTTGGTGAGAACCTCCTTCCCTCAACCAGGGCATTGAAAATGGGTCGTGGATGGGTATTCCAGCATGACAATGACCCAAAACACATGGCCAAGGCAACAAAAGAGTGGCTCAAGAAGAAGCACATTAAAGTCCTGGAGTGGCCTAGCCAGTCTCCAGACCTTAGTCCCATAGAAAATCTGTGGAGGGAGCTGAAGGTTCGAGTTTCCAAACGTCAGCCTCGTTACCTTAATGACTTGGAGAAGATCTGCAAAGAGGAGTGGGACAAAATCCCTCCTGAGATATGTGCAAACCTGGTGGCCAACTACAAGAAACGTCTGACCTCTGTGATTGCCAACAAGGGTTTTACCACCAAGTACTAAGTCATGTTTTGCAGAGGGGTCAAATACTTATTTCCCTCATTAAAATGCAAATCAATTTATAAAATTTCTAACATGCGTTTTTCTGGATTTCGTTGTTGTTATTCTGTCTCTCACTGTTCAAATAAACCTACGATTAAAATTATAGACTGATCATTTCCTTGTCAGTGGGCAAACGTACAAAATCAGCAGGGGATCAAATACTTTTTTTTTCCCCTCACTGTAGTTTTGCCCCGAATGTAAACGCCTGTACGCCGCATGGATCCGAACAACTCAAAATGTCCCCGTACAAGAAGACCACAGGATTCCACAAACCCTGCGGGTGAAACACGCGACGCAGAATGTGGCTACTCAAACGTGAGCCGAACAAAAGTTTTTAAACCCCTCCCTGCCTCCCTACCTTCTTTCTCTACGAGGTCTTTTTTGTTGTTGTTGTTGAAACTCGCCTCGTCTTCAGAGACGTTCGGCGAGCACGCGATCTTGCACAAGCACGTTCACTTTCGTTGCGTCTCCCAAGTTCATGTGGACAGCGCCCAGCGCAGAGCCCACCCACCACAGTTGTCAGTGTCGCGTTGAGGACCATTCGTCGTTGTGTAGTTGTGTAGAAGAGCTCTCCGCTGTCGGAAAAACGGAACAGAGTTCAGCGCGTGTCACGCAATTGACGTTCTTCAAATTAATATCGTTTACACACAACACAAAGGGAAAGGCACCCCACACCCCCACCCACACCAGTATAGCCTGAACAGACTGTCGGGGCAAGTGCTGTTAGCGAGCACCTTATGAAGGCCGCCACGGCGTACGAGTGGGGTGGGTGGTCAGCACCAAGCCCGGCCGCCTTTGTCTCCCCCCGCACCAGGTGCTTATTTTGAGGCTGAGTCGACCTAGGGGAGGCCCAGGTACCGGTTAAGATAATCGTCACTGGGTGTTGGCCGTGAGCGGGAATGGAACCCGGGTCGCCGGGTTCGTAGCGCTCACCGCTACACTACCGCTCCCCCCCCATGTAGTGTACACGGACACACACATACACACACACGCACATACACACACATACACACACACGCGCACATACACACACATACACACACACACGCGCACATAAACACACACGCGCGCACATACACACACACACGCACATACATACACATACACACACGCGCACATACACGCGCACACACACACGCGCACATACACACATACACACACACATACACACGTGCAAATGATGATGGCTGTTATAAAACAAAATACTAATACCGTCTGCGAGTGTTAAAGCGAGCGACGGTCGCGGTTACTCAACCAGAGCAGAGGAAACCAGGAAGCACGGTGGTTTCGATTTGACACTCGTGTACAACACACGCAGCACTGTAAACCACTCATCACACGCTTACAAATTCAGCTTGCTGTTGCTGGTGTCGGCCCGCAGGGGTGAAAAGTCGCCCAAGCGAACACAACTCACAGAGCCGACAGATGTCGCTAGAGTCGCTTGGGAAAATAATAAGTAGTATTAATAAAAAAAAGAACTTTTTTTTTAAATAAACACGCTTTAATGAAATGTACCGTAGTGGTAATGGCATAAACTCCACGACTCCAGGAAGTGGCCCCGAAGCTTGCCACAACGTAAGGGGGGCCCGTGGTCATTTACAGACAACGTCAGTTGACCCTGCACAATTAGACCCAAGCCGAAACATAACAGAACTAATAATAATAATAGGGTTTTTCCCCCTTTTTTCTGGCAACAAAACTGAAACCTTTTGGTGTGGACCAATCAGTTTCAAGGACAATTGCATATATTATCATAGTATGTTTTTTTGTTTGCATTTTGACTGCAGGTATTGTGATTAATGCAAACATGAATCCTTGTAAAAAAAGATTTCAGTTTTGTTGCCAGAAAAAAGGGGAAAAACCCTATTATTTTATTTTGGTACTGGCAAAGGAGGTCTAATGATGTAGATAACAAATAATGTTTAAAAAAAATTATTTTTTTATTTTAAAAAAAGGACATAAGTATACCAAGTTTGCAGTCGATACCACATTGGTAAGTGGGTTAAAATTGAGTTACAAGATTTGAGGATACAACCACAACAACGACAACAACAACAGAGTGAGTTAAATAAAAGCGTGTAATAATAATAATAAAAAGTGATCGAGCGTGCCGCTCAATTGCAGCAGCAAACGCGGGTTTGATGTGCATCGACAAGAACGTCGTTCGCCCAACAAAGTTTGTAAATGTGCCACCCCGAAGTGACACGTGGTGGGGTTTCATGTGTGGGTGCTCTACCACACCTCTCCAAAGACGTCTGGCCCGCGTGGAAGAGTAGGCCAAACACCCTCTCTAGAGTGGGCTTTCAGAGCTCCCCCGAGCGTACACAACTGACCATTGAGATTTCGTTTCACCATAAGAGCGATTTATTTTGTGTGCGCTAAAACGTGGGCCTCTGGGTTGACTCAGCCTCAAATTAGTAACCGGGTGCGTTGTCTAAAAATTCGCCACTGGGGAGACAAAGGCGGTCGGGCGTGGTGCTGGCAACCCAGCCCCTCGTGTGCCGTGCCGGCCTTTGTACGTGCTCGCTAACAGCACTTGCCCCTACAGTCTGTTACGGCTATACGGGGGATCTTTGCATGGGTGGATTATGCGGGGGGGGGGGGGGGACGTTGGGCCCCCCCCGCCCCCGCCCAAACTGAACATTTTCATTAATTTATTTTCAGTAGTTTACCATCCAGATTAACTTTTTTTAGATTAATCATATGCCCCGCGATTCCTAAGCGAACCCCCTTTGCCACACCGCCAAATATAAGAAGTCAAACTCCGCATATGGATCTTTATTTTTGAACAAAATTTGGCGTTGGAAATTGCAGCACCGCCAAGAACACGCGAGAAAAAAACGGAAGTGCCGTGAAGCTGATCTCCATTAGGAAGTTGTTCGATACCCTAGACGCCAGACGTTGCGTTTCACTGACGAGTGGAGTTCACAAAGACATCACGGACACCTCGGGCTAAACCCGACGCAGAAGATTCCCCTTGGGTTCCATCTCCCTCGACGGCTCACGGGCACAAAGCATATGGCAGAAAATGCGAATACTCTATGGACAAATAGAACATTAAAAAAAAAACTCTCCGTGCTGCTAGTGTGGCCACCCAGAGCAGTGACCATGATGCCCGATTTACAAATCCAGCAGTAGAACTGCTGGATTATATTTTTGCTGGCTGGTTCAGCAGTTCTACTGCTGGATTATATTTTTGCTGGCTGGTTCAGCAGTCAGTTCTACTGCTGGATTATATTTTTGCTGGCTGGTTCAGCAGTTCTACTGCTGGATTATATTTTTGCTGGCTGGTTCAGCAGTTCCATTGCTGGATTATATTTTTGCTGGCTGGTTCAGCAGTCAGTTCTACTGCTGGATTATATTTTTGCTGGCTGGTTCAGCAGTTCCATTGCTGGATTATATTTTTGCTGGCTGGTTCAGCAGTCAGTTCTACTGCTGGATTATATTTTTGCTGGCTGGTTCAGCAGTTCTACTGCTGGATTATATTTTTGCTGGCTGGTTCAACAGTTCTACTGCTGGATTATATTTTTGCTGGCTGGTTCAGCAGTTCCATTGCTGGATTATATTTTTGCTGGCGGGTTCAGCAGTCAGTTCCACTGCTGGATTATATTTTTGCTGGCTGGTTCAGCAGTTCTACTGCTGGATTATATTTTTGCTGGCTGGTTCAGCAGTTCTACTGCTGGATTATATTTTTTTCCGCCTGACGGACGACCGCTTGTGTTGCGATCGAAACGTCGTGATTTATTTTATTTTATACCTACGTGACTTTACCGAAAGAACCAAAAGGGTATGGATTCCTGCAGTCACAAAAGCTTCGAATCAAGATTTAAGTAGGAGGAGTCATCATCACGCAGCTGCTCCACTCCACTGCTCCTGACGCAGTCGCCTGGCTCAACCACTTCGATGTAACATCATCGTCGTGGCTCGACATCAACATCAGCCATACGAAGAGGACTGCAATAAAGCAGAACGTTAACGAAAGGCTCACTGAACGTGCGCGCAAATGTACAGCCCTTTTTTTTCCCAATCCACTGCTGCATGGGCTGCTGGTTGGTAAAGGCGGGTAAGGCCCGTCTTAATGCGGTAACGTAGAAGTGCTGTACAATGAGTGGTAGTAATTGCATTTTGATCATAATCGTAGCAGTTTTTTTCTCTCTCCATTTTGTTAGTGCATTTGCTGGATGTCATAATATAAGTGACGAGTGTCACGGAAAAGTACTCTAGTCTGTAATGCATGCAACCACGTGATTGCATATATTGCCTCACAGTAACACCGCACGTCTGGAATTCATTTTCCTCCGACCATTCGTGCTGCCAATACAATATTATCCCTGTCCAAGCCTGCACAATAATGTAGCGTCTGAATGATGAAAGCACCTGAAGACTTTGAAAAGGGTAAGGCCAATATAATCGTTAACAGCACCCAGAACGAGCCTTCTTCAACCACTGAAACCGCATGCAGATGCTGACTTTTGTTAATTTATCTCGTTAAGTTGCACGTGTCGTGGTTTGCCATGGGGCCCCCTGCCTGGCGTCGCCAGTAATGAGATGGTGCCGCATGGCCCAATTGACCCCCACGACCCGCGCGGCGATGTTGACGGTCGGGTACCGCACGGGATTCCAACTTACTTTCTCTGTCGCCGTGAGAGTGTCGAGTGAGCGAGGAGTCACGATTTTCGTAGCTCTTGGTTCATGGATGGTTGAAGATATTCCCGTGATTTGAATTCTCCTGGAATTGTAAAGTATTTAACAAATACACACAAGGTTGTTTATATTATGAGACCTCCTTTGCCAGTAACAAGATAGAGTAATAGGTTTTACCCTTTTAACTGGCACAAAAAACTGACACCTTTATTCAAGGCATCATGTCTGCAATAACCACAACACAAGCAGTCAGAATGCAAACAAAAGAGACAACTCTGATAATAATATGCACTGTCCTTGAATTTGATTGGTCCACACCCGAGACGGCTTTCTTTAGAGCCTCGTCTCCACTGGTGTTGGACCAGAAGACGCCAAAAGGCGCCTTTTGGCGTTTTTTGTGCCAGTTAAAAGGGTAAAACCTATTACTAAAAGGTTGCTAATCTTTACAGTTTTATGACTGAAACATAACGACCGTCCCTCTGGCCGGTGGGTCTACGATGACTGTCTCTCGTAGCTAACACTGTCTCCTGTGATGTTAATAGGCAATCCTGTTTCTCGGTGATTCTCCGCAATACGCGTGTCTCGCTGGGTTTATTCAACGGTTTTATTCAACGGTTTTATTTAACTTCACTTGTGGTGTTTGTCGTGGTCAAATCTTGTAATCAAAAGTTAGTCTACTTCCTGTTGTCCAATCAATTCCAAATTTTGCACACCTACTCAGATCCGGAGACAATGCATGCCTGTATCAAAATCGGCATCAATTAATCAATTAATTGCCTCCTTTCAAACAATTACATTTTTTTAATGGACGGCATATTATTTTAGGTACTGCTAAGACGAACCATGGGGAGTCTTCCGCTCCACCACTTATCACGTTGTTACATTTAGCGCCCTCTAGCGGCTGCGGGTATCTCTTTGAACCCCATGACAGTTCACACAACGTGTGCCAGTCGAGGGGTCATCTTGATTTGAAGCTTTCGTGACTGCAGGAATCCATACTGTTTGGTTCTTTCGGTAAAGTCACGTAGGTATAAATTTTATTTTATTTTATACCTACGTGACTTTACAGAAATAACCTAAGAGTATAGTCGAGGGGGTGGTTTAACGTCGTGCTTTGGTGTGATTTAGAACAGTGGTTATTTACCTTTACTGCAGCCCTTTGGTTCTCAATCGTAAAAAAAAATAGTGTAATGTTAATAAATGCGTAGGTTTAATTAAACAAAGCAGTTGTACTTACGTGCCCGTGCTTACTTTGCGTTTCGTTTCTTTAAAAAAGATCTGTCCACATCTCACACCCCCGGAAAGGGCATCTGGCACCCCCAGGGGGTGAAGCGTGCACCCTAAGTTAAGAAGAACCACTGCTTTAGGAGCAGGCGACGTGACTATTATTCAAACAGCACAGGGACAATTTAGAACCAGCAGAGGGAGCATTCAGAACCAGGCTACCCGAGTTCGATTTTTGACCACGACCAACAACGTACACCAGTGGCGCGTGATGCCTGAGCCATTCCCGGACCCCTGTCATCCCGCACTGAACAGCGTGGTGAAGTATGCTCAAACAGCACCCATTACTGGCTCAGGTGTGTGGGATACCGTCATATGGCAGTGGATTGCCGGGGATGAACATTTTGTAGTAATTTATTTTACTAATTGAAACATTAATAATGTCCATGTATACCTATACTTCCACGCGCGATTCGATAACCGTGTTGTTTATCCGGTTAACCGATGAATCGATGCTTTGTTACACAAGGAATTGTTCAAAGCTGCCAATGAAAGGCATGATGGTTAGATGATTACGTCACACATCCGACTCGCAGGCCGGGAATGTGAACATCTGTATATGATGACAATTACGCCATGCACTAATTCTGCATCACTCTGTGTGGGCGACTCTTAGTTGAGGGCGGATATGTGACGGTCGGATCTGCGGCGTTGTACTGTTGTTACCTGTTATGCAACTGTCGTTTCACTCCGAGTGAGTGAGCGAGGTGCTCGATTATTTTTAAAAATAGCAGATTTCTTGTTCCACTGTAACTTTAAGTGCTATACCAACGGATAACCTTTTTTAAACCGTGCACATTATAGTCTCTGAGTAAACGGATGGTTGATACAATTCCTGTGAATTGAAATTTACTAAAGTTCTTACAACAGAAAATATGTATACTGTATTACGTTCATACTATTTGGGTCTTTCGGTAAAGTCACGTAGATATAAAAAATAATAAATGTATTAAAATAATAAATGTATTAGATTTAAATGTATTACATTTATCACTGAGAGATTCCGTCTTTATGGTAAACACGTTTTGAGATTCTTAGCGTTACGAGCCGCACATCCAGTTCCGCACTTTTTTTAGACAAATACTGCTATCTGGTAATGGGATTAGTCTGCTTTCTCTCGGCTGTAGCGTCACACTCCACTGATGGCGAATTACCTGATACACTAATGATAGGGAACGTCTATCTTTTAAGTATTTAACTGCACGATACTTAAAGTAATGTGGAACGTTTAGGCTGGCCTTGCCCGTTTACCGGGTCCCAAACGTAAAATGTTAGTTTTATTTATAATTATAAGCACATGGACTATACAGTATTTGTGCCAAATGTAATATCTCTAGCCTTTCCAGAAAATCATTATAATTTCTATTAGTCTAGGTTGACGGACGTCAATGCATATTGGAAGATGTACTGATATGAAATTCATAACATGACGTGTTTACATTTACTGCTCATATGTCTATCGAAATGAATTCTCATCACTTTGTAATTGCATCGCCGTATCGTCATTTGAGTTGTTGTAGTCTGCAGTAACTGCACCACGTGGACCTCCGTGGGTTTCTTAAGGTTTGCGCCAGGAGCGACTCAGATATCCCTGCAGTCCGCGCTCAAATTAGTGGGTGGCGGTGCTGCTGCTGCTGCTGCGTTGGCAGTGGTGCACGAGTACAAACAGAAACTCATCCATGTTCGGTCAATAACACCGCGGTCTTAAAATAAAAAATATATATAATCGGCGACGTATCAAGCAATGGGCCTTCTTTAGAGCACTGCATCGTGCGCTTTCAGGTGCGCTTCTGCGGCCGTCTGGAACGCTCTTCGTTCCGATATTAGGAAGCCGCCGGAACTATGCACTTTTAAATCGTCTAGATTGAAAACTCGTCTCTTTAGAACGGCTTTTTTGTGTTCAGCTTATTGTCCTTCCCCGGCACCTCCGATTAGCACGTTTGGCTGCGTACGGTGCGAAAGAAGTTCAACAAACAGTACAGCACACTGTTGACTCATAGCCCGTGGCCGGAAAACGAACTCCACAATAATGTCTATGCGGTAACACTATTTACATGATTTATGCATTAACAGTGTAGTTTACAATAAACGCACCATTATGTTCATATACTCTTTGGTTCTTTCGGTAAAGTCACGTTGGTAGAAAAAATGATAGATCACGACAGCTGTTTTCTTGCTGTGGTTGTCTCACCTGATGACGATTGCTCGTGTTGCGATGGAAACGTTGTGATCTATTATTATTTTTTCTACCCACGTGACTTTGTCGAAAGAACCAAAGAGTATGGATTCCTGCAGTCACGAAAGCTTCAAATAATCATGTCCATATGTTTATTTTTTTCATACGTGTTATCCTACCGTGTGGTGTGAGTCCTTGAGTGCACTGCGCTACTAGACACGGGGTCGATTCCAGGCCACGAACATGCGGTGGAAACCTGAACCTTGATCCTGATGTGAGCCTCCCCTAGCTCGACACGTCCTTTAATAACGAGTACCTGGCGCTCGCTGAAAGCGCTTGTACTTGGAAGACAAAGGCGGCCGGGCGTTGTACAGTATTGGTCAAGCGTGCATGATGCTGAACCAACCAACCCTGGGGCTGTATTGGTGCACGCCAACAGCACTTGCTCCAAATGGCCCAAAGCTCTTAAACGGTCGATCTTTGCCTCTGCGCGTGCACGTGTGTATATCTATCGAGTGTAACGTCCCTAGGACGGCCTACGTGGTGCCTGTTCAAATGTTACTTGATGCCCGCTAGCTGTGAGGGCATTAGCGACCGTGAAGGCAACGATGTCTGCCCGCTCCGTCCCACTCGGAAAAGACCGCGTGGCATGCCCTTGGGTGAAGTGATGGGCTTCAGAAAGGCCCTGCACATATTATTTGTTTTGCCCCGTAAGGCTTTGCATGTTGAACAAAAGGTATATATATATAAAGCTGTGGATCTGATGTGCCCGGTTACCCGTGATTGACGGCACTGTTGCGCTGTTGACGAGCAGACGTGTTAGGGTTAGCTCCCAAAGCATTGCGAAGTGATCAGTCAGCGGCATTTGTATTGGTAAACTCGCAAGACACAAGTTACTCGTCTAAACATAACGTGATCATCTATGCATGTTGAACTATGAACTATGCACGTTCGTAAATTAACGTACGTGGTTCTTTTGTTACGAAACTATACGGTATAGTACGTGTGTGCGTGTGCAATTTTTCACACGCGGTATACTTTTTACAATTATTTTGCATTTCGCGTATCGCTTGCAAAGTATGTTTGAAGGACGTGTACATTTACTGCCAAAGCCTATTGTCAATACATGCATTGAACACATACAACGTTAAAGACAACCCACAGGTGTGAGATCGTGTGCGAGTGTGGCCATGCAACCCAAACTACTGACCACGTAGTAAATAAAACCACTGTGGTCTTGCGCCCCTCCAACAAAGGAGGAATCGCAAAACGACACGAACTCTCCGCTCTCCTGAAGCACCTCTCGTCGCTCGCAGATATCTACGACGGCATTTATTTCCCGGACAGATTGCTGCCATCATACGCGAGTGCTGTATATAATACAGACAGCATGTTGCCAATCCACTGCTGGATGAACGCTTCCTCTTACTCACCCCGCGTGTCGGTCGCTCTCGGGGTGATGTTGTTCGATCAAGCGTCTGCACGCTGATCAGTGCGAACGGAAGTATTATTGAACGTAACGAATCAACCCCCCCCCACCAGCTTTCGATGTAGATTGATTAAAAGCACGTGGTACGCGAGTGTGTTACGTGAGTGCGTTCGTGAAATAACCAGGCACACAGAGGCTACTCAAAACAAGCCAGGCCCGCCTTTATTTCGTATCGTCTTTTGTGAAATCTACACACAAAGAGGGGATGATGAAAGTGTCAATTCATATTTGAAACAACAAAAAAACGTAACATCAGACGTACACAAACACATGTGATAAGGTGTGAGCAACTCGCAAAGGACACTTTCGTCGATTAATCGATCACCGAAGGCAAATTATTATTATTCGAGTTACGCCTTTGCTTTTGTACATGAGTATATTCACAAGTCTGAAGGACTTGTACAACATGAGCGCTCAGAAGCGTACCCCGTTTGATCTCACACTGGCACGCAGCGTTGTATAGATGATGTGATACATCTCATTAATAATTCGTATATACAGGGCGTTCCATTTATAGGCACTCCACCAATTCCGAATATCGCTCTTGTCAAAATCTTCTTGAATCTTGTGTAGGTGACGGCTCCGTGTCTCACAGAGGACAGTGTTAATATATGCTTTTTTAAATGTCTATTTAGATTTGTGGGATACGTGTAGAGTTATTTTTAGAAAAATAAATATTGTTTTCTCGATAGTGTCTCGCTGTTAGTTTGGTAGAGCTGACGATAAATGGATTGGTGGCCCAAAAAGTCAGGACACGTAGGGTTATTTCATTTATTTTAACACTGGCAGTAAGACATTTCAATTGTTTATTATTTAAAGTAAAAATTACATATATCATACAAATTCATTGTTTACAAAACTCGACCAAAAACCATGAACGAATGTTCAAAGATTACACCTGTCCTACATTCATTTCAAAAGATCATTCCTGCATGCATTAATGTTTTTGCAAGTGAGTTTGAACATTGATTTAAAAAAAATGACCCTGTTATTTGTTAAACTAAATATAACCCCGTGTGTCTTGACTTTTGGGCCACCCTGTATATACCGACTTTAACACAGAGATTGCCATTTGCAATACGTTGCCTTCACCAAAGCATGGGTCTCGAACGTTAAAAAAAACAAATCTACAGACACTGGCTCATATGCAATATATATGGTCTTTATGAAGAACAAAAATCCACATTTTCATCAGTAAAGGTAATGCAAACATTTGGTTTAACAGCCTCTGTTGAATGAATCATGGCGACACGCCAAGTTAGATGAAGGTTGTATGAACCCGAACGGACGAGGCAAACTTACAAAGCTCTGAACCACCTCGCCCCAGCCGACAGCGTGGTCCAGATGTCTTGTGACCACAATTTAATTCTCTGCAACTAAATAAATATTTTAAGGAATATTTATTTTAGCGTATTCCTCTACTACTTCCTGTTCTCGTGCTTAAAACCTTAACCATCCTCTCCCTTCCCCTTCCTAACCTCGCCCCCCCCCCTTTCCCTATCATCATACTTCCCTAACATCCCTTCCACTCCCCAACACTCAAACCCCATCCCCATTAGCCAACACTAATGTGCAATTTATAACTATTGCTGTGGTTTTCACACCTGATGATGATTGCTTGTGTTGCAGTCGAAACGTCGTGAAAATTTTATTGCTTTATATTTTTATTATTTGATTGCTTCCCTTCTACGTGACTTTACCGAAAGAACCAATAATCTATTGTAAAGCGCTTCGATAAAAGCGCTACATAAAATCCTAGATAAGGTTTAAAACAGAAATTAATATTGCTAAAGGAAAAAAAAAGTGTGAGGCGTTAATTAATTTTGGGGGTGGGGGGGAGGGGTCACAAGAAATCTGTAGCACCCTGTATATCAGGGGCACGCTGTATCCACGTGCCGTCAAGGTCTCTACGGTGTGGGGATGCGGATCTTCTCCGCGTCCCCACATCGCGGAGGCTTCTCCGCTCGTCTGGGTTGACCGAGCTGCTGCCCGTGCAAGACCCCCAGACTCTGGGGACTCCCTCTAATCCGCGACATCTCCAGGATCTCCGAGTAAAACACGACCGAAAACGTATTTAGACACTTCCGTGTATTCAACTATTAGTTGATTTAGATAATGGCGTTTAGCATTATTTGAGCATGATATATTTTTTTTGTTTCGTGAGCTATTTTTTTATGCTGAGTGTTTGCTGCCCGTGTCTTGTACAAAGCTTTGAGAAACTCGATTAAATGTGCCTTATAAATTGAATAATTATTATGTACATCGTACTGATATGGTAATTGATACGTATAAAAAAACTAGCAAAAATACATAACTGTTTGCTGCATATAAACTGACTCTTGCATACATTTTAGCAACATAGCGTACCGCTAAACTCTCCTCTGCATGAAGCCAGCAGAGATACAACGCTGTATATAAAAAAAAACCGTATGCGTTAAGTGCTTCGTCCCGCAAAGCATCGTTTTTCAAAGCTATGCTCTGTTCGTATCGCTGTCTTTGATTTTGACAACGATGATCGTGGCGGTGGTGCGGTTGTAATAGGCGGCGATGCCTTGGTAATCACCATCGCAATTATCATCATCATCTCACGGTTAAAATCTTGATCATCGTTGCCATCATCGCACCCACCTTCGTCAAGATGAAGATCTTGATCATAATCGCCATAATAATAATAATCATCATCATCATCATCATGACCATCATTGTCAAAATATCGAATGATCTTGATTATAGTCATCATCATATTAAGAAAAAGTCTTGATCATCATCGCCATCATCGTCATCATCATCATCATCATGTCAAGATGAAATCTACCTCGATGAGTAACGATGGGTCCTCGACGTTCCCAAAAGAAAAACATCTGGGACACGTGGACAAACTGGTGAATCCTGCAGAAGGCGCCAGTATTTATTCCTCTGCTGATGATGCTGCTGCTGATCCTGTGGCTGCTGCTGCTTCCCTTGCCGCTGCTATTGCTCATGCTGCTGCTGCTGCTGACGACGACGATGATGATGATGGTGATGCTGGAGTCCCTCTCCGAACGTCACGTGGCGACCCCCTGAGAGAGGAGCGAAGCCACTCACGCGAGCGAGGAGACGGGGGAGGCGCACATGCGAGAAGTGGCTCCGCCGTCCTTCAGCTCAGAGTCCCCCTTGGCAGCGGCCAGGAAGGGCCAGGTCTGCAAATCAGGCGAGCACGCGCGCGCACGGTAAGACATTCCCAGTTTGCGATTAACGCAATCGCGTAATATTCACAACGATGAGATATGGTCTATACACGACTGAACACTGGCCTCATCGTCATCAACATCGTATACGGTCTATGCACTGCTGGATGACGATATTTCACCGTACACGTATATGCACACATCCCTACAGACTTGCTCCCCCATTCCTCATCACAGCGATGTGAGAGGTATCACGCGGAGTGTCTAATCCTATCGGACCACAAAAACTGAGACGTGCATCGTGATCTTTTCGCTTTAAAGATGACTTTTTTAACACCAACGAGAGAGTGTGTGTGTGTTTAACTTAAAGAGTGGTGTGACCTTGTGTGGAATTAAGTCGGGTAGTATTGTATGCGCCAAGTGTAGAATTACGCGCGTTGCTGCGCGGAGCGGTCCTTTGGCACCTTCACCTCTTAGCACTCGGCGCAAAACACCAAAGCCGCTTCAAAGCAAACAGAGCGCAGCAGCTGCCGTGTACGATATTGCTCCTGACAATCGTGCAGGCAGACTGCGCGGTGTGTGCGGCGCCCTCTGTCTATCTGCTGCTGGATCGATGCGGCAGAAGTTTCTTGATCCACACCTCACCTCGCTGGTCGGCAGTGCAGGTTTTAGTGAAGTTCATAGTTCCATTTATTTGGTATAGCCCTGTGAGCCATTCGGCTCTTGAATCGGGTGCAATCGCAACAAACAAAAAAACAAAAACATGAACAAGAAAACATCTTAAAGTGATTATGTGACTGTGCAAACAGAAAATCCAGGAAAAAAAACATCAAAATATTCCTGAAATAGCACCGTACACCAACGCTGTGTGCAAAAATCCCAGTGGGATGCAAGTCAAACAACAACAACTAAGATTTAGGCCATCAGTCTAAGTTAGAGGGGGCAACCTAGGAATCGTGACGGTTATCACTCGACAATCACGTTAGCCGTGGCCGGGAATAAAACTCATATGGCTGGGTTTAAAGTGCTGTGTGTGTGTACAAATGCGCTACCTTCCACTAAACAATGCACGCAAAATATGCCACGCATATAAAATATGCCACACATATTTTGCGTAAAATATAATTATGCGACGTAATGGCGCACAACAGATAAGACGCGTCCATAAATAAACAAACTTCATCTGTCAACATACGCATATTCATTATTCCAATGTTTTACGACAATTCCATAGCTTAAGCGGATGGCTTTTGCGATAACATATGCCAATAAAACAGCGGTTTGTTTACAAGGCCTACCCCTGCTGATGAAACCCAAGAAGTCGAAACCAGTTCGGAGTTTGTCTGCTTAAACACATGCTGATGTGACACATTGCGGTCTGAAAGGCCATAGGCCGCATTATGTTTTCTTCAATGTTTCCTACTAATAGTATATGATTAAATATAATACATAATTATACAAATACATGTTTTTTTATCTTGGAAGATACTTTGCATATTTTCTGTATATATATATTTATGTGTGCACGTTTATGACTCCATTGCAGGCTTACGTTGTGCAACGTGAATAAAAAATGCATATTCTGACTCATGTTGATAATAATTCGTTGAACGTATCTATATTTTTAAGTTGAAAAGTGCACAGGTCCAATGGAGAGGTGGGTGCTTGGCATTACACTGAAAGACGTGGAAGAATAACACATGGATTCGTGAATATGAAAACTAAACGATAAACTCAATCATTGTTTATTTTACCAGGTAAGGCCCACTCAGCTCTATAGCTACTGTATTTTTCAGAAGCGACCTGGCCACAAATGATAGCTCAACGAAGTGGCTTATCGTGTGGAAATGCATTGCAACCGAATATTCTGAACACGACCACGGGCAGAACATGCAAACTCCACATACAGACGTGGGATAGAACCCACGACCTCCTGTATACCAGGCGAGGTAGTTAACATCTCGCCACTGCGGCAGCCTTTAACATACGCAAAGTTAAACACATTGTATTGACTGCTAAGCAAATAAAGTGGCGAGAAGGTGATCACTGGTGACCGAAACGAACGTCTTCAGAGTGTCATCCACAGGAGGGAACACGTGCAGGCGCTAATGTGGGTCGTTGCATCGCAATACCATGACAGATGGCGGCAGATTTGGGGAGGCGTTTATCCGGCAGCAGATATATCATGACTGGCATTGATAGTGATTGAGTTAAATCGAGTAAGTGCCGTGTAGCGTTTGACTTAATATAAATACTATACAACCCCCTAAAACAACCGCTCCTAAGACGACAAAGCGTTAATATGCATGCACGTCATATTCGAGCATTGCCTCGTTACTATCCACAGAATGAACGTTCATTCTTCCCAATAAACGTAATTGTACTCACATTATAAACCGATTTGTACGAGTATTACGGTAATGCATTATCTCATTGTTACGAGTATTATTAACCGTGTTTGTACTTGGATTAATATTGCTTGCTAAAATGTGGACTGGGAGTGATTTCATTTTGAGATCGTCTACTTTTGCTCAACGTGATCGTTTGAATATAAAACTCCAGTCAAGAATGGATCGACAATGACCGCTTATCAAGTTTCTGATCGAGCGACCTCACACGACAATAATTATCAAAACACGTCGATACAAACGTACAATTAAAACAGCCTTTATTTTCGCCATTGCTGAAAGTTAATATCACCGTACTTTCTGGCCTAATAAAAAAAAACGTTCTAGCCTAATTCACAAAGACTTGTTTATTAAAAAAAAAACCCTTCACATTCAAGTAAGACTCACCAGCACAGCTGTACATACCGCAGCGCTACGGAAATTATATATGTTGTAAAACAAATTATGTCTTTTTTTACTTAAGGACTACTTATGGACATTCTGCGTGATTGCATGCATAATATCATGATCCGTTGCCTCCTACATTGCCATTTGACCACGTCACCAACTATAACACTGTACTGTATATTAGAAAGTTGTGCGTTCGAACAGCGCGGGTGGAGCGGTGTCGCAGTGGTTAGCACACTGCGCTATGAACCTAGCGAGCTGAGTATGATTGCCCGGCCACGACCAACATCAGTGGCGTGTGACATCTGAAACCGGTCCTGGGCTCTTCGCCTTCACCAACCCGCACTGACCAGCGTGGTGAAGTATAACCAATCAACCACCACTGCGGTCATGGGTCAGTGAAAGCGTCTACAGTCTACATTAGTGGTTTTTATTCTTTTTATTCACTTTATTTTTTATTATTATTTTTCAATCTACGTGACTTTACCGAAAGAACCAAAGAATGTCTCTTCCTTCTCAAACGAGCGATAGGTCTAAGCTCATCTCCGTAAGCGGCCCTAGGTGCGCGTTTGAAATTACGCATTTTCATGGCGGGATAAATAATAATTTTCATAAATAATAATAATAATAATAATGAACGTATGTATGTTGAACTTCTTCGGCACCTTTATGTAGCCAACCGTGCTAATCGGAGGGGCCGGGGGAATGAACGCCTCGCGGAGTTTCAAGCCACTTGTGCGAGAGGTTTCCTACATTGCAACTTGTTCGTGTCATTTCTTTCGAGGAGCGTTTTGTTTCTGTGCATAAGGGCAGCAGAGTTCCCGGAGAAATCCCACAACGCAAAGGAATGCGATGACCTTCAAAAGGTCCGCCCACGGATAGGCTTCATGAACCCACTTCCTGGGCGGGGGGGGGGGGGGGGGTTTGTTTTGGGAGTGCCACTGGTCTCTACGTGATCCACCAACCCTTGCGTTGATAACGCTGGTTCGTAAGCGTGCGCCATCACGCCCAGCACCCATCTCACACAGTTCACCGGAACATTCTAATGATGTCAAAGAAGGGCGATAAAACTCACATTTCCCCTTGAGTGCAGTATTGTTCCAGCCTAGGCATATAACAAACAAAGAAAACCCTGAAATTCTAAATGTTAGAATTTGAGCTCTGAAATTACGACACGGCGGTTGATTGGTTTCACAGATAGCGCAGGATCTGGCTAAACTTATAGATCGCTTTACGTCTCGTGCCAACCACAAACAAACAAACCATCTCCTCCCCATTAGCGAGCCGGGACATTTGCGACCCTTAAAGTGGGACGCTGAACCCGATGGCAAGCGGGCAAAGCTGCAGCAAGTTACTACGGCTCATTGACCCCGTAGGGTTGAGTCTGGTTAGCGCTTGCATGGCTGAACACCAATGCTTGCCAGGTGTTGCGCGATGCGAGGTGGCCAGCATACGGCAGTCATGAGTGGCACCCTCTCTCGTAGACGTCGTGAGAATTATTCTCTTCCCGGGTACTCCGTTTTCTTGCCGCACGAAGCCAAATAAGAAGTCGCGCTATTGGATAAACACTCGAATGTGGCACGAACCTCTTGAAAAAAGAGTCCTGAAGACTCCGTGAGGTATCCCTGGATGAATAAAGTAGCGGCGCACCCACATTAAGGACACGGATTTAGATTTACAGGACGCTTAATAGCCTCAGAAACTGAAAAGCGCGCCTTACTCTTCAACCTGCTCATCTTATCAAAATATTTCCAGCGCCTAAACCATTCAAAAACCCTGTTGCAATCTATCCTAAGGGGGGCCCCCCATATGCAGCTGTACGCAGCACTGGCCTGCAAATGTCCATAAGGAGAAACAGTGCATCGGCACCCTGGGCAGACGTCTGACGAATCACTCACCAGGTTGACCGGGTGCACGAATCCGTTCTGGTAGGTCTCGTCGGCCAGGATCTGCCGCAGGTGCCCGATGTAGCTGGAGGCGAGGCGCAGCGTGTCCAGCTTGGAGAGCTTCGTGTCCGCGGGCACCCAGGGCAGCGTGGTCTTGAGTCTGGAGAACGCCTTGCTGAGCACCCGCATGCGGGCCCGTTCCCTCGCGTTGGCCGCATTGCGTTGTCCGTGTTTGCCCTCGGAGATGCCCTCTCCTCCGTCGTCGCCAGCAGCGCCACCAGCAGCAGCAGAACCACCGCCGCCTCCTGCTCCTCCTCCTCGACCTCTGCGTCGACCCTGCGTGACTCGACGTCGGCGTGTCGGCCTCAACTCCTTGCTGCTGCTGCTGCTGCCGCCGCTGCTGCTGTTGCTGCTGCCGGGGCTGCAACCGCTGCCTTCTTCGGAGGTGAAGTCCAATTCGTCCACGGCGATGGTCGCCATGCCTCTGGCCGGGCTGCGTGGGTCGCTCTTGACGCGCTCCTCTCGCAACCAGTGGCCCTCCAGGTCGTGCAGCAGCTCGTCCGTGTCGCTTGTTGAGCCCGTGGACATAGCCGGGGTGCGTGTGGGGTGTGAGTGGGGTGAGTGGCGTGTGTCAGTGGTGTGTGTGTTTGTGTGGGGATGAGTGCTATGTATGTTAGTGGTGTGTGTGAGAGGTAAGTGGCGTGTGTTAGTGCTGTGTATGTGTGTGTGAGAGGTAAGTGGTGTGTGTGTGTGTGTGAGAGAGGTAAGTGGTGTGTGTGTGTGAGAGGTAAGTGGTGTGTGTATTTGTGTGGGATGAGTGGTATGTATGTTAGTGGTGTGTCTGTGTGAGAGGTAAGTGGCGTGCGTTTGTGTTAGTGCTGTGTATGTGTGTGTGAGAGGTAAGTGGTGTGTGTGTGTGTGAGAGGTAAGTGGTGGTGTGTGAGAGGTAAGTGGTGTGTGTGTGTGAGAGGTAAGTGGTGTGTCTGTGTGAGAGGTAAGTGGTGTGTGTGTGAGAGGTAAGTGGTGTGTGTGTGTGTGTTTGTGTGGGATGAGTGGTATGTATGTTAGTGGTGTGTCTGTGTGAGAGGTAAGTGGTGAGTGTGAGAGGTAAGTGGTGTGTATGTGTGAGAGAGGTAAGTGGTGTGTGTGTGAGAGGTAAGTGGTGTGTGTGTGTGAGAGGTAAGTGGTGTGTGTGTGTGAGAGGTAAGTGGTGTGTGTGAGAGGTAAGTGGTGTGTGTGTGTGAGAGGAAAGTGATGTGAGTGTGGTGTGTGTTGCCCTATGGGCTGTTGCTCTACCAGGCTATACACGTGTTGAATAATACGGTGGCCTTCTGCCTAACCACGCACTATATATCGTGGTATATATCTAAATATCACTGCTGCAGTATATATGTTTACGATGTGTATCGCACTGCCTATCCAAATTATATACTGTCTTGTGTTATAGCCGTTAAAGTCCGGGCTAACTGAAGGCTATATAGTGTATAGCCAGACTATGTATAGTGTTGTGATTGTACGTAAATACCCAGTCAAAAAAGCGTATTATATATACTGTCAGACTTTAGTGTTCTAGAAAATAATAAAAAAAGATATGTAGTGTATTATCTATATGTAGAGTTATATCGTTATGCTCTCACATCTATCCAGCTTAGCACCTATCCAGAATACACCGTCTTATTTTAGAGGTATCAGAGTGTGGACGCTGGCTAAGTACCGATTGCAATGTCAGGCAAGGCTCACTCTCTCTATATAATGCCATCAAATGCCTACCCACGCAGACTGCAGCGTGTAAGGTCTACCCTCCCGTGTGCGTCTTGCACGCTCCGTGTCTGAATAAGAGATTCTTGTAATCGTGACTCCCCTTTCCTTCACGGCGCCGTTGACTGGGAACCCAGATTCCCCCCCCACACACACACACAGCCGTGAAATGATGCAAAAGAGTGGGGGGGGGGGGGTATGAGGGTGGCTGCTGCCTGCGTCAGAGTTATTTGGGTGGTCACTTTCCCATGGATATTGATTGACGCTGGGCTAGAGCAGCTGAACTCCAAGTCCTCCCTCCCGCCTCTCACTCTATCTTGCGCGTGGACTATACCAAGTGTGACATATGCACCGTGGTGTTAAAAAAAAAAACGAAAGGTTTTTTTTTTTTCAGGTACGGCCCACTGAGCTAGACAGCTATTTTTTTTTTCAGAAAGCGACCTGGCCACAAATGATAGCTCAACGAAGTGGCTTATCATGTGGAAATGTACTGCAGCCAACTACTCTAAACGCGAGTTTCTAAATGTGGAGGGATACTCTCGGGGTGGGGGGGGGCTGAGAAAAGCGTGGTGTTGTTGGGACACCCGGATCGGTGGTGATCATAATTATTTCCATTGCCATGTATTGTACAGCTCTCTTATTGTCAATCCACTGCTGGACGAGGGGCCTCACATAAACCGTGTGGGCCATATGTGATTTGCTTTTGCCACACCTCAGCATCGCTGTTCGCAGCGCCGCGTTGAAGTGGCGAACCTAAGCTATTAAAAATACGTTCAAGTATGAACCCACGATCGATTCCGACATCACGCGCCACTGAGATCAGGTCGACGTGTTTATATCGTAACGCAGCGCGCTAACCAGTGCGCCACCGCTCCAACCTTCGCTTCGTCTTATGGTCCCATTTGTTGCGGCGATGTCTCGTCTTGCAGTCACCAACGAACGCGCACAGGGACACCGTCCACCCCGCGCACGCCACCGTCTCACGACAAAGGTGCATCGCCACCTGCTGCTGTCATGTCTTCTCCCGACAGTTACATGGTGTGCGGGTTTGTGTCAATGATGCGCACGTGCTTACGAGTTGTATTATTCGGGCATGACCATAGTTTAAGCAAATGCAGATGTTGTGTTGGCCCTGTTTATACTTTTACGGGAAGATTAAGTGTGGATGTGTTACTCACTTCCTTCTCCCCCCTACACACCCCGTAACTCATATTCTGACTGTAATTCATCATCGTCGACCACGGCCAATCCACGGCTGGATGTATGCCACTCCAAGCCTGCGATGGAATCTCATCCACTCCAGCAGCTGCACACGAACCGATTCATTCGCTCCGCCTACCCGGTGGACGTCGTCTCGGACGCGTGCTGTCACATTGACTGTCACACACTCCGTCATTCGCCTTGACCGGCAGCTACCGTCTCACGTGATTATGCGACGTTTTGTAATTGTGGTGGGCAAGCATTGCCATCGATGTATATATCTGTGGGTATGTATTTGTGACGGCCCTTTTTCAATCCACTGCTGGATGAAGGCCTCCCTACGCCCTGCCGTACCATGGAGGCCGGGTTTGTTTGACCATACTTCACCATGCTGGTCAATGCTGGAGTCGGGGTTGGGGGGGGGGAGAGGTCGGGATGTCTTTTGTAAATTAACCTGGGGCCAATTCGCTATCCTGCTTCACGGGCACATCAAGAGTTGTGCTGAGTTTAAAATAATAATTTCAACTTAACTTGCAACGTGCCGCACACGCATTGCCCCACTGTCGTAGAGAAGAGAAAGACTCAGAGGCGAGAAGAATCACAGACGAGCAGGAAGGCAGCCACGCGATGAGCCGGGGCCAATACTTGTCCAAGCTCTGCGGTCTTCTATATATATGCATTATCGGCCAATTTATGAGTGTTTACATGTAGCGAAGGAAACTGGAGCACCCGGAGAAAACCCACGCGTGCGAGGGGGAAACACTCTATCCCGAATTTATGGAACGAGTATAGTCCACAGTTTTGCTAAAACCGCCTGCTCCTGACAGGCCAGCCTAAGACATCTTTAGACGCCCACGAGAAGGGAGTTTCGCAACATTTTTGCAATCTGCCCAAACCTCGCTTCCACAGCGCTTAGATTACTTGCTTGCGCAGCACCACCGCCTGGCCCATGAGTGCACTCTCCTAGTGCCGCGTGACAGCCTCTCGCGGCACAACCGTGCACAACGTGAACATTAAAACAGTCCACCCTGGGGATCTGCAGGATTCTGCAAGGGGTGTGCGTGCACGAACTCAAGGCCACCCAGAGCGACACTCAGAGAGACCCCCTGGTGGGACCCCATCTCAGCGACACCCTCCGCCTAACGCCCACTGACTCAAGACGCAGCGTCCGAGACGAGATCATTGCTTTGCTTGGCCTTGGCTGAAATTTGCGGAGTTTGACTCCAAAGCGGGGGGGGGGGGGGGGGTGCTCCATTGACATGCGTCTGTCCCCTAACCCAAGTCAAAGTTCACCACTCTGCACAAAACACGAGGTTTTAAGTTTCCCACTGGAATAAATCACGCCGAGAAGAAGTAAAAACAAGTTCGGTATTTAACACTGGATTAGAGAGCACGTATTATTACACTAGAGGCATTGTATCGACTGCTATGGAAAGTAAGTGGACTTGGGGAAGACACGTCGCTAGAAGGGATCATGATGATGGCCGGTCGGTGGTCGAGACTACAAATAAAAATGCTACGAGAGGCTACGAGACGTGATCAAGTGGTACAATGTTATATTGGTAATGTAAGCGTAAAATGGCTGTGTGTACAAATGCCGAGAGCGTGACTCGTTCATCCGTCTTCTAAAGCCCAACGTATTTTAATTGTGCGCAAAAGCGAGTCTGAAATTGCGTTCGTTGAAGGTCAAGATTTTAACTTTTTTCCTGAATTTGTGTGTGGAGCAGTTGAGTGCACCGCGCTACGCACCCGGCGATATCAACACCGGTGACGATTATCTGAACCGGTCCTAGGCCTCCCCTAGGTCGACTCAGCCTCAAATGAGTACATTACCTGGTGCACGGTGTAAACATCGCCGCTCGGGAGACAAGAGCGGCCGGACGTGGTGCTGGCCACCCACCCCCTCGTGCACCGTGCCGCCCTTCATAAGTGCTCGCTCACAGCACTTGCTCCCAGCAGTCTGTTGAGCCTATACGGGGGATCTTTGTATTCGGCGATCACTGACTACAACTGTCTCGAGCAGCAGTCAGCCAGACAACAGCTATCGACATAAATACGGCAGACTGAAAGCACTGCGCCAACATTACAGTCTGAAAAGTCACAGAGTCCATTGCAACTACACTATCTGAATTGCGCACAGTACAAAACAAACCAAAACACGCGATAAGACGTTGCGGAAAAGAAAAAAAAACGTACACATGTAAAATAGCGTCTTCAATAATTTGCCGAAATCGCTCAAAGGTTATGATGACACACAGCTGTGATTTGTTGGGTCTTTCACTGCAGAGCCGCGCAAGCAGCCGTAAATTTATGACGGTCGTGATCCAGCCTTATCCTGCTAAGTACCTTTAGAGCTCCCAAGGCAGACATGAGCTAAACGGCCTCACAACCGTGGCCTGTTTCCCACGAGAATTTCGTCTTGGGGAAAAATAACTGGCAGAAGTGAAGCCATATAAACTTGCCTCGGCAAGAGGCTCGCTCTGATAGAGGCCGGATTGGCCAACGTGGCTTATCTCCCCGAGACGTAAATTAGAAATCTGTGGACACATAGCAGAACACAGGATTTTAACCCCCCCCCCCCCGGCGCGCCACCCTTTAGAGAGGCGTGGTGTGGCTGCTGGCAGGCGGGGTTGTCTTGTTGTAAGATTGTGTTTCGTAGCACTTTGCAGGTCACACGCCTTTCTCTGAAGGGCGGAACGACAACAGGAACAGCCGTTCCGACGGAGTCGCGATCGCTCGTGCGCATCA